TGAAGATACAAGTAAAGACAAGCACACCCCTCCTACTATGCAGGATGCAATGGCCAGGGCTCTTGAATTCGAATCCTACGTTAAGTCCAGCACAGAGGTACCAAGGTTGGTACAATCATCAGGATTCAAGGCCAGAAAAGAGCAGCTTTCAGAGAAGTTTGAGGGACTTTACTGACACTGTAACAAGTCTGGACACAAGAGAGCTCAATGCCAGCAACTTCAACACAGGAAAGATGCCAAGGCAGGAAAGGCTGCTTCCCAGATAGAGTATTGGAAGTATGGAGAGCCAGTGTAAGAAGAATACTACCAGTTAGTCAGCCTCGGGGAAACAAGTAGTGGTTGTTGTTGAGGGACGCCCACCAACCCCCTTTGTGTAAGTCCCACAGCTAAGTGTAAAATGGCAATCACACATAGTGTCTACGTGAAAGGAGAGCTTGATGGCCAAAAGTGCAACTTTGTCATAGATTCTGCATCTCAGCAAACCCTTGTGAGCATCAAGATGCTAGATCACAAAGGAGTACCAGAAGCCATACGGAAGTAACCATTGACACTGCTGAGCCTTTGCCCAAAACTCGTGCTGGAAACAGGTACATTTGTGTGGTGATGGATTATTCCACCAAGTGGCCTGAGGCATATGCAATACCAAATCAGTAAGCTACAACTGTAGCTTCGGATATTATCGATTTCTTCTTCAGCTTTGGTATGCCATACTAATTGCATTCAAGGCCGTAACTTTGAATCAGCTGTGTTCCATGAATGCTACAAGTTGTTTGGCATACGAAAGACCAGGTCAAACCCACAGTCTGATTGTATGGTAGAAAAGTACAATTGGACACTTGGACAGAAATTGGCAAAGTTTTATAATTGCCGCAAAGATGACTGGGATGTCTTACCCCCTCCACTGTTGATGGCCTATAGAACAGCAGAGCATGAAGCCACTGGAAGATGTTTGGTCGGGAACTTTGGTTGCCAGTGGATCAGTTAACAGGACGCCCAACTTATGAAGACTTGCCTGAAAGGATGAATGATATTCATCATCAAGTGCATTCAAACTTAAAAACGTCTGCTGATTCCATGAAGATATGTTATAATAAAAAATCTACTGAAGTCAGCTTTGTACCAGGAGACAAGGTGTGGTTGTATAATCCCAGGAAGACCAAAGGGAAGTCTCCTAAGTTGTCTTCTCTATGGGAAGGCCCATATGACATAGTGGATCGTCTCTCAGACGTGACTTTCCGGATAAAGGGTGGTCGGCGAGGTAAGCCAAAGATGGTGCATGCCAACAGGCTTTGGCATTATCACGGTCCAGGACATTTCAGTTAGGATGAAGTGAACAATGGAAGTACTGTAAAACTAAGAGACTTTGTTGTATTTTAATTTTGTGTTTGTAAATTCCGTACAATCAATTAAGTTATTGTTAATTATCTATTGGTTTGATGTAAGTGGCTATTGTTTGGGACGAACAATATTAAGGAAGGGGCAGTGTTTTGACAACGGAAGTCACGTGACGCTGCTGTTGAGTTTCTCGAATGATCGGGGAAGTCCGAGTGTGTTCGAGATATTCTCTTCGTCAGTAGGTAAGCCTGGCAGAAAAAGCCATCGGGGATATAGATGAATGAAGATAGAGCAGTAGTTACTTTGAGTTCCGTGTAATTTATGATTCTGTTAGTTTCGAGCTAGTGAGCCGTAAAGTGTGTGTTATGCAGGGCGAAGTTATCGAGATTTTTAATCGCTGTGATTTATAACGTGTATAATAAAAGTTGTTAAGTTTAAAGTGACGAGAAATGTACTGATTGTGGAACTACTGTGTACTAAAACTTTGTATCGAGGAAGAATAAACTGGGTTGATCAAGAAAGGACTGGTATCGCCGAAGATCCTCGGGAAGAATTTCTACCGGAAACTAACAAACAAGCAGATACGTAACAGTATATTTTCGGAGCAATCTGTTTGTGCACTAGACCTGTTGAAGTCGCAGTGATATAACATTAGTTGAAATAAAGTATTTTATTATTATTATCTGGAGAATAAAGGTAGTTTCTTCTTCTTTTTATATCTTTATTGTCAAAATCTCTAAATCCTTCCACTATGCACTACAAATTCAGAAAGGTTTAAAAACTAATAACTGTCCTAGCTTCTCAAACATGTAAATCCTCAGTTTTCTTTGTTTGTTTTTAGTTTTAGTGCGAAAGTATACAATGTGCTATCTTCGCTCTGTTTACAATGGGGAACTGAACCTCGGATTTTAGTGATATAAGTGCGCAAAGTTCCTGCTGACTCACCGGGACACAGTGACTCAATAGAAATTTCACCTACTTGCTAATTTTCTCCTACGTAAACTATTATAATTCTCGTATCTTTATATAAATCCTCCATTGAAAATACAGAATCTAAATTTGTAGTGCTTAACTAACTCAATAATCAATCAACGATCTTTTTTAGTCAGCTTAATAGTAATACTCGTTTTATATCATTCGAAACTTCACCTCGTGTACTACTACATTAAGCTTTTATGGCATGCTCATCACGTGGCTAAAAGCTTTATCTGGTGAAAAACTATAAAAAAGTGTAAGTAAAATAACGTAGCCTACAACAATATGGTTGAGATTTAGAAGCTATTATAAATTAAGTTACAAACATTTTATTGACCAATTACAGGCAAGCAACATTGTAGTGCGTTTTTCTATTATGACGTGATACGTGTGTTTTACTTTTAGTAGGGCGTGTGGTTTATGGTGAGAGAATACGCGTGGAAAGTTTAAATTTAATACAAAAAAGAGGTTAAGTATAAGTATGGTTACTTTATATTTATTTTGTAATATAAATTATAATGTTAAAATGCATAACAGCGCACAGAACTTAGGATTGTAGTTGAAGAAAAACGGTAAATATCTGTTATTACAGTAGTAGGCTAAGAAGTTACACGACTGAGAGTTCGACGAATGCCAAAGAAGTCAGAAATGAATGGGCTGTCGTTCAGTGACATCTGTTGTCTCTTTTGTTGTCCACCTTTTCCATCTCGTATTGCTGCCAAATTGGCATTTCTTCCACCAGAACCAACATATTCATTTATCCCTGATGAAACTGGAACAAAATTCACTCTTAAACTCTCTGATAGAGCTGAGTGGCAGTATTCACAAAAAGAATTAGATAATTTTGAGGTGTTTTACACCAGAACGTCAAGAGGAAATCGCATAGCGTGTATGTATGTACGTTGTTCACCAAATGCAAGATACACAATACTTTTCAGTCATGGGAATGCTGTTGATTTAGGCCAAATGAGTAGCTTTTATTTAGGATTGGGATCTCGAATAAGTTGTAACATTTTTAGTTATGATTATTCAGGTTATGGAATTAGTACCAATAAGCCATATGAAAAGAATTTGTACAGTGACATTAATGCAGCCTGGCATGCACTGAGAACAAAGTATGGTGTTAGCCCAGAAAATATCATTGTTTATGGGCAGAGCATAGGTACTGTCCCAACTGTGGACTTAGCTTCAAGGTATGAAGTTGGTGGAGTGATTCTACACTCACCTTTAACCTCTGGAATGAGAGTGGCCTTCCCTAGTACCAAGAGAACTTGGTTTTTTGATGCATTTCCAAGGTAAAGTATATTAAAAATAATAATGTTTAGCTATAATGTGTTGGGTAAATACACTGTACTGTGTGTTTAAGGATTATTATATAGGAACACTATGTGATACTTTGCCTTGGTGTATGTTACTTGAGAAGTAAGATATTAGTGTTACACAAATCTAACCATTATATTCAAACATATGGGTCAGTGCGACTAGTAGTTTTACTAACATTGTAGTATGTATAGGTTATGATGTAATCAGTTGTTGGAAATTTATCATTTGACCATCTTTCTCATATAGTATGACTGAGAATATATTGTAGAAAAGCAATCCGTAAGGTATTTTAGAAATGTTAACTGTTTCTCTATATATTGGTAGTAAACCATAAAGTTAAACTTTCTATTTTAACAAAAAATTGTAGGTTACCTCCATGTTGACCTTAAACGCACTAGTTGAAACAATTAACTTTTATTCTGAAGGCAAACCTAAAGCTACCTTACATCTTCAGGAACAAAAGACTGATTTATATCATGCAATATTGGTTTTGGATATTTAGTTCTTAAACATTATGCTTAACAGTGTTGTCAATAGGCCACTTGTATTTAGTGTTGATTATTCATTCCCAGTGTTTTAGTAATGTAGGTATGAAGGGCTCACACTCAGTTTGTAGGGTGTGATAGATACAAGGAGTGGGTTTTATTTGAAAACTTGAAATTGTCATACACTTAATTTATTTGTAGAGTTTGCAGGTAAAAGGAGAAATTAGAAACTGTCATAACTAGGGAAAGTTTCTACTGTGGGAAATGACACAGGGATTTAAGGCCAAGTAGAAAAAATAATGTTTAGGGTCCAAAATTTTTTAAATTACCTTTTTGAAAGAAAGTTTGCACCCCATTTTTTCATGATTGTGGCTTGTTTTAAAAAGTCCATGTGAA